GAAAAATGTTGGATTGTATACCTGGATTATTGAGCATGGACTTTGTTGTTTTCAAACAGTTTGACATGACTGTCGACAAGGAAGAGGGCCGTCAATGGAGGAGGGGGCGTGACAAAGAGACCATCTTAGCACCAACAAACTGGTTTGTTCCACTTTGGAGTAAGCTGTTGTTAATCGGTATTGTCTGGTCTAACGAAGTCAAAAGGTCAAAAACATTCAGACAATGTTCAGGGAAGGAAAGCAGTGAATGGTTCAACAGGGCTGTTACCTGACTCATCTCCTGCATGTACGGCCCGAAGTGTTCCCTGGTGATGTTGGGGAGGTAGAAGGAGGGCATCACCTCTGCCTCTGTGAAGTCCAGCCCCCATGTTTTGGTGAAAAAGTCAGACTCCCGTTTGGCGAGTCGCGGGTCATTTAGTGCAGCGGGGAGGTTGACCTTCGAACTGTACACCGTCCACCGATCATGCTCTGCCAACACAGACGGACCATTGCACAGGCCCCGCCCCTCACCTGCAGGACCACAAGGAAACAGATTGGAGCTACCTACAAACTTTGTGGCTCAAAGGGACAAAAAATGGTTGATATTAGAGCTCGAACGATATATCAGTAGGGCCGATATAGGCGTTTGGGAGCCTATTGGTATCTGTGATAACTGGCCCATAATGCGTTGATGGAAACACTGGGAATGAGCTGTCCTTCCTTGCAAAAAGCGTAATTGTACAATGTAACCAGCAGAGGTGCATGCTGACTACTTTCAAGTCATGGCCGTTCACTTTGTTTCACATTCAGCACAGCAGAAGCAGTGAGTAATACTGTGTATTTTGCTGAACAGAGCATGGTGAGTTTATTGCATCTGATCTGTAAAATAAATTAATAATAATATATTACGGTACCTTCAGTCCTCCAACTCGCTTGTCATTAGCTACGTGCCTCTCAAGTTAGCAAGCTAATGTTTAGAAAACCTAGCATAGGCTATTGTCTTGTAAAACTTTATCCAGAACAATAAATCTAATGTGAAGGTAAAACATAACAGTGTAAGTAACTTTATCTTTGTCGTCATTGTTTGTCTGAAATCTTTACTTCTCTGCAAAGAAAAATAAACTCTGCTGTGGCCAATACTAATTAGACCTTCACCATATGTGACTGTTTAAACAATGAACAGGGAAGGGGTTTCTTTGTTTAATTTATATTTTTGTAACACACTTGTTAATTTTATGGTGAATAGTGGATAGAAAAAGTGAACGCATGTTAGGAAGACTGTTTCAAGACGTCAAGTGTTAAAACAGGTTTAAAAGTAGCCATTTACTGAGACTATTGGAGGTGGAGAAAGCTCTAAAATATTTAACCAATATATTGGTTATCAGCAATAGCCAAAATTTTCCTATCAGTCGGGCTCTAGCTGATATTGAGCTTACTTCTGTCATTACACTCTAGAGGTCTGTGATTTTAATACAACTAGAACGTGATAGTTTTCCTACCGGTTGGCTCTTTTGGGCAGACGTCAGGCAGGGAGCGAATGTGTCGCAAGTGAGGTGGGGAGGGACCATGCTCCTTGCGGTAGATCCCGTCTCGGCCTCCACTGGCAGAGCGAGGCACTGGGGAGGCCATGGCATCGGGACTTGCCTCCAAGGAGGCTAGCTAGGAACACAGAGCTGTTTGAAAACAGATGAAGAAAAATTGATTTAAAATCCAAAGTTGGATCAGCAAAATTCTACATTATTATTTCATTATTAAGAGTAATAATACATAAGAACTGAAACGTCTTTATTAATATTCTGCTCAAAATTTTTGTTCTGTACCTTATGCAGTTCAGAGAGTCAGAGTTTCTTTATTTGTCATTTCCACCACATGGGGTACATGTGGTGGAACGAAATTGTGCACACAGGGTCCCAGTTACATCCAACAATAAAATGTAAAAGAAAAACAGTAATAAGATCTAAGATATGAACTAAGAAAAACATCAACTAAAAATATGCTCAGCACTAATAGCATAGTTGACAATAGCTTTGTCATAAAATAAAAAAAAAGGATAAGACTTCAGAAGACGAGAAGAAAAAGTCTAACCTGAGGTCATTATGTTAGTCATGTCTAAAAAAGTTAAATCTGGTCCCCTGGACATTCAAAAAAAAAAAAAGCAAAACAAAACAAACAAAAAAAAAAATGTAGAAACGTTTCGTCTCTCATCCGAAAGACTTCCTCAGTCTGATGAGCTGTATTCAGCTCAGTCTTATAAATAGCACCTTCTCAGAGTGGATCAACCAGTTTGCTGCTGACAACCAAAACCAGCTGATCACATGCTCAAGAAGGACCATCAGCCTAACGATGGATCATTAGCACACTGATGGCTGTTTACTGTTCACCGAGGGTTGTTATTGCTAGTATCACTCAGCCAGAGGACCAGATTTAACTTTTTTAGATTTAAATATAAATGTTTTTGTAGAATCTGGTTCATCAGATTAAATTCAGTTCAGTTTATTTATACAGCACCAAGTCACAACAGAAGATGTCTCAGGGCACTGAACAGAAAAATTCATATATAAAAATAATTTTATATTATTTATCTGAGGAGCAGACTGCTCTCATTAGCAGGACTTGGATTCTGGACACGCCTCCAGAATGGGTCCTAAAGTGCAGGTGCAAATCCAGGCTGAGCTGAGCCAGGCTGAGTAAGGCTGAGCAGAGTTGGGGCTGATTAGGGGCCGTGCAAAAGTGGCATAAGGTGCCCCATAAGGGGTTAGCGCCTTGCTCATGGGCCCAGAGTGGGGCAAATGAGGGTGGAGGCAGGTGTGGGTGCTTCACCTTTTCCACCCACATTTTGATGTTGGTCCTGGGAGTTGACCGGCGATCCTCCGATCACAGGCCCACTGCTTTCAGTCACCTGCAAGCACTCTTGGCCACGCCCACTTTTCTGCTCTGCACAGAGAACAGCTGATCAGCTGCAGCAGAATGTTTCTCCTGCAGTGTGCGCTGCACAAAGATGCAGGAGGTGCTAAATAATGTAAAATAATTTATTTTAAATAAAAATTCTATGCCGATCGTGCGACTCATCCATCCATCAGCCAACTGTGTGTCATGTCCAATCTTATTTTGAAAAGCTGCGATAGAGCGAGTCTGCAATAAACAAACCACGAAGTAGAGAGGGACTACTGTACCCCCATTTGTTCCACTGATGTTTTACAGCAAAAAGATGCTGCATGTGGGTTAAACCTCATGAGCGTCATTATAACGACCTTCCATGTTTAGCAATAAAACGAGTTGCTTCAGTGGCCAAGTATTAAATGTTCTTAAACACGGCGGGGAAAAATGTAACCTTTAAAACATATATAATACATTTTGTGTGACACATTTGTATTTGGATTAACAGTTAAAAGATGTACAAGTAGCAAAATTAACCAGATGTATCTTTGTCCTAACTACAACATTCGTATTTACTGCCACTTGACAGATTCATTGCTTGTGTTACGTTTGGTCTCAGCTGAAAAACATTTTTAAACAAACACCTGCACGTTCCCCTTGAGGCTGCGGCCTTCATTTACACTTTCAGTCTTTATGAACTGCTTCAAAGTTCAAACAGCTGAACTGTGCGTGCCACATCTGCAACATCTGTTCAGTCCTGTTTATGTAAATGAGTGAACGCAGCCAGAAATGATGAAAACCAAAATGAGAAATTTATACATAAAAGAGCCATTCTTTCTCCTCGTCTTCTAAAAAAGGTTTTTCTTCATCTTAAGTTTTGTTCAAGATTTAAACCATAACTTACAAGCTCGTGTACAGACTCTTACAGCTGTTCGGATTCTTTGAACTGAACAGTTACAACAGATTGCTCTGCTCAACAAGTAGCCGATAATCACTCTGGATTATCAGAACTTCACATTATATTCTTGTTTTAGAGCTTCCTTCTCTTTTATACGGTTTTCTGCTGCAGCCCGTCGTTTTATCAGTTCTTGTTTGACGCAGAATCAAATCATCATGAGGCGTGACACCAAGAGGGCCTTCAGCGATACTAAAACGTGCTTTGCCTTTGGATGGCAATTATTACAAGCACGTCCTAACATGTACAAAAGTCTGAACCTCTAATCTGTGATGAGCTTTCTTAGATTGAAGGTGGCGTCACTCTGGCTCATCGTTTCTCCTCCAGCACGTTTAAAACACTTCACTCGATGGAGAAAGTTGTGTGAATGCGTTTTTTGTGCTGACAGTAAATTTTAATCTGACAGTTCAAACTGTAAGAGCTGTTAATCTCATCACGCAACAAGAGGATTATCAAAGATATGTATTGTTTCTACAAACACAAAGGTCACAATAACCATCTGAAAGTGTAAAGTCAGACTAATTCAAACAGAGCTCGGCTGTTTTCACATCTTTGTGGTGAGTTGTGTTGGAAAATAGAAATAATTGTTCTATTTATATTTTTTGTTGTTACATCCAGAAACATGGGATTGTTGTGTTAATTTTGCATGAACCCTCTGCAGAATCACCAACCTGGTGTGGTAGAGGGGTTCTGTACCCCCATGATCCTGGGGGAACTCTGTTTTGAATGAAATAAATGGAGAACATTATAGACAACCCTCAGCATCCTCTTCATCAGACTGTCATACAACAACAGAGTGTCATACAACAAAGTGTCTTCAGTCAGAGGCTTCTTCAGATCTGCTGTAAGACAGATCACTACAAGAGATCCTCCCTGCCCACGGCCATCAGCATCTAGAACAACTCTTTAATGATCCAGGATGATGAATTACAACATTTAATTTACCTCTGGGATTAACAAAGTATTTTTAATTGAATGTTCTGGGGACCCGGGCCCTGTGCGGGTCTCCCATGGCAACCAGGCCTGAGGAGAGGGGTCAGACCAAGAGATTCAAAAGCCTTGATGAAAACGAGTGCATCAGGAGACCTCGCCCCAAAAAGGGAAACCGGTGCACCTCCAGGCCTCAGGTCAGAGTGTGTGGGGGGGTAGCTCACCAATAGACCTTTTTCACGACAACAAGAAGTAGCAACTCCTGGTGCTGGGTCACTTCCTGCTTTCGTGAGTCTACGCAACTACACTCGGGAAAAATGTCCGTGTTTTCAACATCTTTACTTAATTTGTCAGCCTTAACTTTCGCTGATGCGGAGGAAATCACGGCAGCAAAATCACAAACAAATACGCTTGAGAAAAGATCAAAGTTCTTCCATGAAGAATGCATCCACAGCTATCAAGGTAAGAAAATACATAACTTAGCGAGCTAACCGTTAGCTACAACATATGAAGTACAAACATCGTAATAAAGCCTAGTTTAGTGTGCTAAATTATATGGAGTATTTGAAACAGACGTGGTATAAACTTTTAAATGATATTTTAACGTACTGATATGTGTTTGCCATTACAATTTGTGAAAGAAAACGTACTAGGTGTTAGTTATAAGATGTTATGATGCTTGATGTTCAAATT